GAGAGAGGGAGAGAGAGAGAGAGGGAGAGAGGGAGAGAGAGAGAGAGAAATACTACATAACAGAACTGGGTATCAGGTGTTACCTAACAGCCTAGAAAACTTTCCAACAGTGCACTCAAGTATCAAGCCAGAGGAATCTTGCCCAAGAATTTGGTACCCTTGGATTCTTTCTGATTCAAATTAGTTTGAATTTCTCTTTCTGCATTCCTGTCTTCCAGATACAAAACAATACTATGTATGATAAAGCAATTTAAATGAGTATTGTAAGCCCGAACAAAATATAGCAATTTTAGGTTTGGATTCCATTTTGTCTAGGAAATGTATCAGTAACTCCCCTTGATCCCCCTGGGCCCAAATTCCAGGAACAACCCTCCACTGTAAATTCCACTAACTACAGCTAATCAGCAGATAACAGGAAAAACCCAAAGTTCCAGATGTTCCTGCAAGTTAAAGACCACAGGTCGGGACTCAGACCATCTGTGTTAGCCAATCATTTCGAAGAGCATCAACTCCATGAGCCAGCCCATCCCCAGTACCATGTCGGTTCCCTCCATTGGTTAGGCTAATCATCTTTTAGAATTTTTTTTATGATTTTCCTGCGGTGTGATATGATTTGTTAAAGGTCGGGGCTCTCAGCTCTGACCTGCTGCGTCCATGATGGTTGTGAGTCCAGGCTGGAGCTTGTAACTCTCATGTGCTTACATCTGAATGGGCTCCTTGGTGGTCTTTGGGGACAAGGCATAAGATCTCCTCAAAAAAGAGTTTCAGTTTAGGTGCAGGCTGTGGGAGAGAACGTGCTTTGGTAAGTCCCTGGCTTTGATCCTGGCATCATCTCCACATTCAGATTTCAACTTCAACAAGACTTATATTTTCCTATTGTGTAATTCAAATTCCTAGATCCTACACTTACACTGAAAATACCCTGTTCCTGCAAGTTAGACGTAAAATGCTTTGCTAAATGGCAAAAAATTCAATACATACCTTAAAATTAAGAAAAACAAGGGAAAGGGTTGGTTGCAAGGTCTGGATGAAAATGTCAGAAGGATTATCATTGATCATGAGGCACTGTATCTATAAATTGCTCTGTTGAGTGACAACACTATTGTAAGTCTACTTCCAGAAAATAAAAATTTAAAAAAATGCACCGTTCCCAGTTTTCAGATAGTTAAAGCTTACACTCTCTGTTGTCAAGAGAAAGACTCCATTAATGTTTGTTTTAGGCTGTAAAGACCAAGTTGATACCACCTCATCCACCATGGGCAGCAGAAGAATCTCGCAGGCAGGGAGGAGGCAGGCAGTCCAAACAAACTGGTCCTCATCCACGTCCCCCGTCGCCTCCAGAGCCAGCATGCCTTTACTACTCAGGCAGATCTGCGAGGCGTGCACGCCATAAGCAAGGACACAGGATTTGTGGGTAGGAGACCAGAGCCTATTGTAGGACGGAAAGGCTCTTAGCCACTTTGTTGATGTGAAATGGAAACTGGGGCTGCAAGTGGAGATGTTGGACAGAAGGGCCCAGTGTCCCAGCCAAGGGACCCTCATGGGAAAGGGGTACCCACCCTGATTTAACTTGAGGCAGCAGTGGCCTCCAGATAGAGGCTGGAGAAACAACTAAGGATTGTTTCCTATGTGGCTTGGATCCAGGCAGGCTAGGAAACTCCAAGGGACCCTTTGGAACTAGTTTGTAAACAAGCTCAGGGTGCATGGGAGCAAGTATGAAAAAAAATGTAAGAGGCAAAGTGTTGGGGTGGATAGCAAAGGGATGCCAAGAGGCAAAGTTCCAGGGTGCAGGGCTGTTATGTTAGGGAGGTTAAAGCAGCAGCTAACGGGACATTTTCAAAGAAAAACACTGTTGGCATTATTAGTCTGCGAGGATCAGAGGTGTGCACAGCTGGGTAGGTGAAATGTGCACCTAATGGACAGACCCACCAGGATGGGCAAGGACAGCCAGAGCAAGTGGCTTGTGGGCACCTGTGAGGTTGCAAGGTTCAAGGACCCCACACCAAGTCCCTAAGGTGTATTCTAAGTAAGGATCCTATCTAAACTAGGAAAACTGTACCCCCTTAGGCTCTGCAAGGATCAAAACCACATCCCCCAAACTAGACTCTAGCATCTATTTTAGTAAGGTCTCTACTTAGGATTTGTGAAATACAGCCAGTCAGAACCCACACAGGACCAAGCCTCTCCCTCCTAGCCAATCCCCATTCCTAGGTAGAGAGCATATTCTCTCTACCTAAGGACCCTGCTCCACATAGGAGAGCTAAAGCTTTCTAGCACCCACAAAGACTGAGCCACATCCTCTCCCCAGAGCCCTTCTTCTCCCTGTGCTCTCCTCTCTCAGTCCAGACACTGCATCCTAATCACAATGGAGAGTATCTCAACATGAAAGCAGTTCATCAATTAGCCACAGCTGACTTGATGTGACTAGCAGGAGCGGTTCTTTTCAGTTAACTGACACTGAGACCCTTGACTGTGTGAGACTTGCAGAGACAGAAGGACCATGGAGAGCTGCAGTTTTGAGTCTTAGCCCTCAATGTGCTCATCCTACTTTTGTTTTTGTTGGTTGTGGGGCTTGAACTCAGGGTCTGGGTGCTGTCCCTGAGCTCTTCTGCTGAAGGCTAGCTCTCTACCACTTTGGGTCATAGCTACACTTCTGGTTTGTGAGTGATTAATTGGAAACAAGAGACTCATGGACAGGGTATAAATGAACAAACATGCCTGTGTTCCAATAAAACTTTATTTATAAAAAATCAGTCTCATGGGGACTTTAGTGCTCCCGCTGGCTTTGAACCATGATCCTCAGATCTCAGTCTTCTGAGTAGCAAGGAATATAAACCTATGCCACTTGTGCCTGGCTTCAAGTGCATGCTCATCTTTAAGATAGTGTCAGCTTCCTGGTCTGCTTTTCTCAAAGGGAATGTGGAATCCAGGTCAAAAAAGCATGTTTGGGTCAGGTCTGGACGGGGGCTATTAGGGCCTGTCTCACAGGTTTCAGGCCTGGGTTTCATCCTTATGACTGACGTCATAGTTGCCACCTGCATGCAAACGGTGCTTTAATGCACTACTATTTAGAGATTTGATTGCAGGAGTTGCTTTTCTTCTCTCTCTTCTTTGAAATTTCATTTCTGTATTAATTTTTCAAATTTTATTATGAAGGTCATGTACAGAGGGGTTACACTAACATAAGTAAGGTCATGAATCAATTTCTTTTTAAACAGTGTTGCTCCCTCATTTTCACCTATGCCTTCCAACCCCTGACTTCCTCCTCCCCCAAATTTTAAAGCTCATTTCCAACACAGTGTCTAATCATTGTCACAGTTGCATTGGTTCACTCTGTGTCCCACTGTTTGTGATTCTCCTTCTTTCCCCAAAATTAGATAAACTTACATACAAGACAAAGGGTATCAAAATTCAAAAGTGACAACAGGGAATAAACCAGAGGAAATAAAAAAGAGAAAAAGAAATTACTGCAAACCTGGTATTTCACCATAAGCCTTATTTTAATATGGGCATATTAAATGTACATTATGCCCTGCTTTTTATGTAAGCAAGACAAAAAGGCCCATTTTGTAGAAGCGTAACTGTATCTTTGCCAGAGTTCACCTTTCTTCCTACCTCTAAGGAAAAGCTCTAAGCAACCTGAAATTCACCATGAAAAAAACCACTTTTTCAGGGCAGATTGATAGGTAAAAATAAATTCCTCTGCTTTTGTGTCTGAAAGCAATGTCATTATTCACTTCTGAAGGACCCATATGCTGGTCACTCTACTGTTGACAAGATTTGGGGGTTGGTAATTAGTGTGTTTAAGGCTAGATCTATTGAGTGACATCTCTCTCTGGGCTCCCTTGCTTTTTTTTTTTTGGTAGGTCATGGGTCTTGATCTCAGTGCCAGGCCTCTGTCTAGGAGCAATTTTGCTCAAGGCCAGCAGTCTTCCACTCTGAGCCACAGTGACACTTCTGGTTCTCAGGTGGAAAACTGGACATAAGATTCCCCTGGCTTTTCCCGCCTGGGCTGGCTGGAATAGCTGTTGTCAGCTGGTCAGCCCCCTAACTAGGTAGGATTACAGGGTTGAGCCACGGATGCCCAGCTCCGCACTTGCTTTGATATGGAAATTAATAATAAACTTCCAGGAAATCCTGGAGGACATCTTTGGGTCAGTTAGGCAGATAAATGTTCATAATGAACCTGAATATGTTCTAAATGGCATATCACACGTGTGTTTGACCTCCATTTGGACTGAATAAAAAGGATAACGTGTTCAAAGTAGCCCTCATGTGATCATTCTAACAGCAATGGCAATATGAAAGCAGAAACAATATGCATAATGCAGAATATTACAGGTGTGAGTTTGGGTGACGTGTTTGACCTTAGGCTTACCTTCTGACACTGTATCTAGCCTCCAGTCATTTAAATCTGTGCTGGTGACTTTTGAGACGGGACTTGCTTTTGTTGTAGGCAGGGCCTGAATCCCATCCTATTTTTCACTTTTCAGCTTAGCTGGGATGAGAGGCATGCCCCATGATGCCGGCTTCTTCCCTTGCCATGAGCTCTCATGGACTATTTTCCCCAGGCTGGCTTCCAACTGCAATCTTCCCAATTCTAACTCCACAAGCAGCTAGAATGATAGATACGAGTACCCACACCCTGATTAGATTGCAATTGACAGAAATATTCAATATCAATCGATATAACCAACCAAGAAACTTGCACTGCACTCAAATTATAATGAACTCAAAGTGTCCTGCAAGCATAAGGCTAAGGCCTGGCATCTTAGCTAAGCTGGAGGCTGGCATGTGAGGGCGCCAATACAAAGGCAACCCGGACTGGAAATCCCTGAGTCCATGATCTTCCAAGAGCTATGAAGAAGATAGAATTTGGGCTGTGGCCCAACTGGTAGAGCACCAGCTTTGAGTATAAAAGCCAAGGGACAGTGCCCAGGCCTTGAGTGCAAGGCCAGTCCAGGCACACATGTAAAAGAACTGTTCTGAAGGCCAGGAACTGAGGTGAGCACAGGGGGCAATGCACAGATGGGCTGGGCCTGTGGCCACCTTGACATGGTGAAGTACCAGTATCTATATGTTGGGTGGTGACAGGTGGACTCTCATAGGTTAAGTCAGGAGGCTGGGGTTCAGTTGGTTTGTTGCGTGGTGATTTGCTGGGTTTGTGGGTCTAGATCGCAATTTGGCTTTGACTTTTGGACTTTGGTTTATTTATTTTTTGCCTTTTTTCTTTTCCTGTTTTAATTTTTGTATTTGTATTTCATTTTCCGTTAATTTTCAGTTTACTTTATTTCTTTTACTTTTATTATTTTAGTTTTGGTTAAGTTTTTGTTTCTTTTTTTTACTTTCTTTGTTTTATATTAGATAGCATTTAGAGGTTTTGTTCATTTTATTAATATTATTATTCATTTATTCCTTCTATATTTACATATTAGATTTTGTTTTATTATATGTATTTATTACAGAGCAGTTTCATTTTATTATTCATTACTTACATTTTGGTGTCAATTTATTATAGTTATCATAAACTGTGTTTACATTTCATTCCTTTATTACAAGGTGATATACAGAAGGGTTACAGTTACATATATATTATACAGTTTAGTTCATTGTATTTTACTACCTTGTTCCATTTTGTTCCATTACATTCTATTTTGCTCTATTTCCTTCCATTTCATTATATTTTGTTCTGCTTTGTTTTGTTTGATTATCTTTGATTTGTTTTCTTTCTTTGTTCGTTTATTTTCTCCCTGGTCAGCATCGCTAGGGTGCTGTGTAGGATGACTAGCCAGAGTAGAGAGGTGAGGCCAGTTCCTCAGACAGGAGTTCCTGTCTGAGGAACTGATGGTGCTGAGGACCATCGGTGAGAGGGGCTAGGCCTCCATCGAGTTGGCCAAGCACCTGCCCACGGACACCCTGGTGGCTGTTAAAGTCTTTGACAGGTATGACAGCCTCTTTTTTGCCACCAAATTGGACATTTTGAAGGCTGTGGAACACCCAAACATTGTGAAGCTCTACGAGGTGGTAGAAACAGAGGAGCCATTGTACTTGGTGATGGAGTACTCCTCCTGGATCACCTGCAAAAGGTGGACAGGCTGGGGGAGGAGGAGGCCAGGCCTGTGTTCAGGCAGATCTTGAGGGCGGTCAAATACTGCCATGACAATGGCATTGCGCACAGAGACATCAAGGCAGAGAACATCCTTCTGGACCGCAGGGGCACAGCCAAGTTATGTGACTTTGGCATGAGTACGTGGTTCCTGCCCGGGCAGCAGCTGGATGAGGAGTGCGGGACTCTGGCCTACTGGGCCCCTGAGATGATCAAGCAGCAGAGTTACCAGGGCCCCAAGGTGGATGTTTGGAGCCTGGTGGTGCTGCAGTACTTTACAGTCATGGGCGACATGCCCTATAAAGGCAGGTCATGGGTTGTACTCAAAAAACCATGGATTAGGGGGCAAGTTCATAATACAAAAATTCTTTCCCTCTGAACTCCAAGGTATTTTAGTCTATCTGAGGTCAGATCCTAAAGAGAGACCTTTGGTGTGGCAAATGATGTGCCACTCCTGACTCAGTCAAACTGAGGCAGCCTTACCATGCCCTAGGCTCATAGTCCTAGAAGAGACAGACACCAAAATCCTAGCCATAATAGGCTGTTACTTAGAATTTGAGCCAGAACAGTTGTGAGCATGTCTGTCTGATAGGACCTTTAAAGCCATCATGAAAAATGTATCTGATGCTCCTGGAGCAGCAGGACCAGGGGTGAGAACTAACCTGTCTTGTGAGGATCCTGCTCCGCTGGGTCTCTGCCTTGTCCCTGGCCTACACACTGTCCTCTTGCCATGTTCCCCTAAAGAGAGACAGTACTGCTGCTTGTCACCCTGCTGCATGCCTGCTGCAGAGCAGCAGAAGCATGAGGGTGGCAGGACATGAATAATGTCCGTGTGTCTCCTGGCCTCCTCTGGAGCCCCTATAGGAAGACCAGGGAGAAACTGAATGCAACAGGCTTTCCCTTCTCCAGCAGCAGCAATGTTAGTCTCCTTGGTTCAGAGCAATGATCAGAGCTTCCAGGCAAATGAACAGGAAAGGCGTGAGGTCAGCAGGGCTGATCTCCCCCATACATCCTCTATAACCAGCACATGGAGCGCTGAGTAGGAGCTGGAGAGCAGCTTGTCTGCCCCAATTTTAGAAGTTCATAACCCAAGTTAATGGACAAAGAGGAGGAGGAGAGCAGCAAGATGCCCCCAGGTACAGCAATAGAGGAAAACCCCTCTATGCGCACAGAGAAGGAGGAGCAGATTACCTTACCTGCACCCATTCCAAAGGCTTTCAAAACCTACTGAAGGTGGGCAGAGGAGAATTAAGAGAGCAGTAAGCTGCCTCCAGACCCAAAAGCAGAAAAAACGTCCTCCAAGTGCATAGAGGGGGAGATGGAAAGTGGCATTTCTCTTTCCTCTGGTCCAAAATCTGCACAAATCTCATCTCATCTGGGGCTCTTTGGCTACAGCTCCAACACAGGACCAAGGCAGGGGCTGAAAACAACTAAAGGAGAGGACTGGCAAGTATTTGGAAGACTCTGATGCTGTTGCATGTATCAGCAGGAGAAGATCTCCAAAGAAAGTGGTTCCTCTTTGTGAGTGTGTAAGAGCATTGACAGCCTGGAAATAAGTATGTGGTGATGGTCAATAAGCCTGTAAGAGGGAAAAGCTGGTATATTCTCAAACAACAGGTGCTAGGGGGCAAGTTCAATATAAGGAAATATTTTTGCACAGAGTTATGAGGCCTTTTGTCTTCCTTAATGGTGGTCAATCCTGAGCAGAGACTCCAGCAAGGGCCAGAACAAGTGATGCACTCCTCCTGGCTCTAGCCAACTAGGGTAGCCTCAAAAAGTCCTAGACAGACTGTCTTGGAGCGGCCAGGCTCTCCCATCATTTACATGATGTGTGGCCATCTAATGCCAGCATGGCAACTCATCCGATGCTCTTAAAACAACAGGACCAAGTGTGTGACCTCAGCTGCCGTGTGAGGAGCTTGTCCTCTGGGCTTCTGCCTCTCCTGTAGCTTAACAACATGTTCTTGCCATGTTCCCCCAGGCAGTGCCCCTGCCTGTCCCCTCCCTGCAGAGAAACAGAAGCAGGAGGCTGGCAGAATATGCACCCCATCTGAATATTTTCCCTGCCTCCTCAGAAGCCTTTGCATAAGGGGCACAGAGCAGGAGACTGAGCGCAACATGCCTCCCCCTGCTCCAGCAGCAGCAATCTCTCTCCCCTTGGGCCAAACCAGTGACCTGCCAGAGCACTGAAGAGGAGGAGCAGGAGGACAGCAGGACTGGCCATCTCCCATGCATCCGGTATAACACCTGCACATGGAGCATTCTGGGCGATGGAGAGATGCTCCTTGAGCAATAGGACCAGAGGCAGGACTCACCTGCCATCAGAGGAGCCTGGCCCCTGGGTCTCTGCCTTGCCCCTGACATCTACCCTGTCCTGCTGCCATGTTCCCCTAAAAAGAGACAGGGCTCCCGTTTGTCAGCCTGCAGCTTGCCTGCCTGCTGAGCAGCAGCAGGAGGGTAGCAGAAAGTGCACCATGTCTAAGTATTTCCCCTGTCTCCTCCGGAGCCCCTTCCTATGGGGGACAGAGGGAGACTGATAGGATCAAGCCTCGCCCTGATCCAGCAGCAGCAGCAGCAATCTCACTCCCCTTGGGCCTGTGATCTGACCTATGGACACACTGAAAAGGAAAGGCAGAAGGGGAGCAGGGCTGGTTCTCTTCTGCATTCTCTGTAACACCTTGACATGAGGCACGGAGGGAACGTGGAGAGCAGCTTATGAGCCCCAGGCCCAGAAGCTTCAGAAGCCAAGTGAAAGGCACAGAGGAGAACCTCAGAGGAGAGGAGCAAATTGGCCCAGGCCCAGCCACAGCACAACCCCCCAGGGGCGCAGAAGAGGGAGAGACAAGGTCCTCTCCTGCTCAGGTCCAGATGCTCCAGGACACAACTGGAGGGGCGGAGAGGAGGAGAAAGAGAGAAACAAGCTGCGCCAGGTCCAGCAGCAGCACACAGATCCTCCAGAGCTATAAGGAGGGAGAGGGAGGGCCGCTTGCTTCCTCTCTGGGGCCCAGCAAACATCTTGTCAATCCACTGGTTTGCCTGCAGCTCCATAATGACCAGGGCAGGGGTGCAGGGCCTCTAAAGAGAGGACCGACAAGTGTTGGAGAAGACTCCAGAGCTGTTGAATGCTTTATCAAGAGAAGATTCCCAAACAAAGTGGTTCATCCCCTCTGAGTGGAGAAAAGCACTGACAGCCTGGAAACAAGTAGGCAGCGATGGGCGAACAGGGAGAGCTGGCATGTTCCGAAAAGACAAGTGTGTAACAGCAGTTTCTAGATTTGCAAATGCTTCTTCTTAGAGCTAGGACTTTTTGCTTACTGAATGACTGACCTGACTGGATGCATCCCTGAGGGTAGATGGCAGAGGATGCGCCATCCCTGGCTCAGGCAAACTGAGGCAGCCTCACAATCCCCCAGGGAGATTGTCTTGGAACATTGAGACCCTGCTGTCCTGGGCCTTGGATCTGGCACAGGGGAGGAGCAGCGGACAGCCCCGTGTGGTATTCGATGCTCTCTGAGCAGCAGGAATGGGGGCCAATTCTCTTCTGTCTGTGAGGCCCCAGCCCTGGGCCTTCACCTCACCCCTGACCTGCACGCCCTTCCTCCCACAATGAGCCCCCAAAGAGAGTCTGTACAGTTGCTTGTCACTCTGCTGCTTGCCTGCCGGCCGAGCAGCTCAAGGAGGGTCTCTCCTCTGTTCTCCCTGCCTCCTCTGGAGTCCCCGCCTAAGGGGCCAAGGGGGAGAACGAGGGCAGCAAGTGTCCAGCTGTTCCAGCAGGGCAAACAGCGGCAATCTCACTCCCCTTAGGCCAACCCAGTGATCTGACCTGGCGAGGCAGGAGCGCAGCTGGGCTGCTGCTCTCTCAGGCATCCTCTAGAACACCTGGAGGTGAGGCAAAGAGGGGGGATGGAGAGCAGCTTGCCTGCCTCGGTTCCAGAGGATCAGAGCCCAGCTGCAGGGTGTCAGCTGAGGGCAGAGCGCCTCACCCTCCCCAATCCTGGAAGCCTGAGAACACCACTGGAGGAGGAGGAGGAGCACGGAGGAGCAGTGGGATGGGGAGGAGGAGAAGGAAAAGTTCAGGAAACTTCCCCCAAGCACTTCAGAAAGACCCATCCCAACACATGACAGAGGAAGGGCTGGAAGGGGCTCAAAAGAACATTCTTCACTGCTTCCAAAAATCTATGCTGCGGCTGCCTGCCTCTTTAAGAGAACCCCAAAGGTGGTGCTTCCTCCTGAGAGTGGAGAACAGCATGGACTGCCTGCAAACAAGCAGGTGGGCCCTGAGCTGTGCTCTGTGTTTTGTCGATGCTTCAAGGAAATCCTTTTAGCTCATCACCTCTGACTGGTTATCTGTCTGGGAGTGGGGTGGGGAGGTTAAGAGAAAGGAGGGTACGGGGTTGGGGGGGGGAATGGAGTGTTGTGTAGTTGTGGAAAGGGATAGAGTTTCAGAAGGAAGGGATGGTGACTTGTCAAGTGTTGTTCTGTGCAATTCAGTCTCTGAGTTTCCTTTCCTCCTGCAGCTCAAGTGGAGAAGCAGAAAACCATCGCCATGCTACTCGCCTTGCAGACCTGCTCAACACGCCTGCAGACAAGCTTCCCTCTGATGCCACCTCCAACAACGCTCACACACTGCACACACCTCTGTTTCTTTTGTCTTTTTTCTTACATTGGACACAGTGTCTAATATCATTCCTGTGGTGCTCATCAACTTAAAAACTTGATATTCCTGTGACAAGATCACATGTATTCTGAGTTTGTGTCCTTCATTTTCACCATGAGGACTGAAGTTTGATTGGGAGTTAGTGTCTTGCCTGTAGTCCTAGCTATTAAGAGGACTTAGCCTTGGAGGCTTGATATTCCTATTATTATCATAAGGAGGGAGGGAGGAGGAAATCAAGCAGTAGATGGTTAACCTACTAAGCACAGCCACGGGGAGATCCTGAGCTCTGAACACGAAGGAAAAGACAAGGTGCTGCCATCTCCAGCAGCAGCAAGCCATTCCTTCAGGACCAAAAGGCTCTTAGCCACTTTGTTAATGAGAAGTGGAAGCGGGGGCTTAGACTGGTGGGGTAGCTCGATAGAGGCGCAGTGTCCTTCCCAAGGCACCCTGGTGGGGAAAGAGGAACTCACAAGATGTAATTGGAGGCATGCTGGTCTCCAGACAGAGGCTGTAGAAACAACTGAGAGCATCCTGTTTGGATGCGATTTGGATCCAGGCAGCCTAGAAGGCCTCCAAGGGTGGCTTTGGGACTCGTTTGCGAGCAAGCTCAGGGAGCATAGGAGCAAGTGAAAAAATGTATAAGCAGGGAAGTGTTGGGGTAGATAGCAAAGGGATGCCACGAGGTAAAGATTCAGGGCGCAATTCTGGGATGGAAGTTTGAG